AATAGTATAGTTGGTAGACTAAACTTTTCACACCCTCCCGTAGTGACTGTGACTGTGCCCTACCAGAAAATCCCTGTGAATTAGATATTGCATTTTTGCCGTAAGGATGTGCCCCCATTCTAGTATTTATTGTGGATTATTGCTTTATGTTCTTTGCAATTAATCAGATTTGGTGTGCTCTTCAGCTAGATGCCTGTGAGTGTCAATTGTTAATCAAGGTTGATTCTGGCAGTTTGCAAACGGTTCTTAAATCATGTTTTGAGGCAAATGGTAACAAGGACAAATGCACACAGTGTGTAAAAATGAAGCATTTGCCCAGCCCTTATAACTGTGAACTTCAAATGTGTAAGAGATCACTAGACATTATACTTTATTTCTTTCAACATCCTTCCATTATTGATTCCCTGTGATCCACGGGTTTTGTTCAAAGTACTCATTTCTCTGTTGTTTGTCTATATGCAGCCGTTCAGAAAATGCGTTATGCACCAACAGTATGTGAGAGCTTAGCAGTGATACAGGTTCATTTCACAGTGGGACAATTAGTCCTGTTCAACACATGTAGGTGTTTCATAGATATATTTTTCTTCCATGGACAAAGGTGATTTTGCTTCTGTTAAAAAAAAAAATACCTTAAGTATTTCAAAATGGATATTTGTCAATTTAGAACTGTTTTACAAGTGTTATAAAATTGTATTTAGTCTTGCTGTTCTTTAATGCTATGTGTAACTAAGCGAATAACCTGCATGAAGTGAGTAGTATATGTTTAAGTGACCAATTGTACTTTTTATTATCTTGTTTTCACAGAAGTCTAGATTAATTCAAATAGAATGTTCAGTGGTATTTTTAAACTAATAGTTCTGTATTGAGCATGCCAGTTCTGAAAATATAACATGGGTCTCTCTGCTTCCTTTATTTACAATGATTAAACGTGGGTAGCAATTTGAGTTGGCTGGCCACAATGTGTCCTTTCACTGCTAGTAGGTACTCAAAAACAGAGCATTCACACTTGTGCTGGGGAACTTGACAAGAAAGCTTTTCTACCATTTTCAGGAACCAATGTGTACACTATCTATAAAAATTTATTTCTATATGGCATTCAAAATTTGATTTTCATCTGAGATTTTTTCCAAAAGATATAGCCCATAAGGATATAATATATATTTAGTCTAGAACGTGGTGTATTCTTCCAATTAATTTCACTGTGGGAAAAATTTTTTCTTCTGAATTTTTCACTGAAACGGATTTTGGAAATCTAGAAAAATACTGGTGTAAGTAGTTCTGATACTTAAAGTTATTTAGCTCATCAACAGTATACATATCACTTAGCATTGAGGTTATTTTAAATCAAACATTCTGAAAATGTCAGAAACAATGAGACAAATGGCATGCGCAATAGCAACGGATATATAGGAAATGAAAACTACATCAAGGACAAACAATGTTCGGGAAAATGCACAACATGGCCATGGGTTTAATTTGGCAAAATATGAAATTTTGTGGGTTCAGTAATCTATGGGATCCCATCTAACTAAGGTGACCCTGAATGATAGCAGGATGGTTCCGGAAAAGATGGAAAAAACATTTCTCCTCACTTCCTCTAAGCCTCACTTGAATTAGATGCATATCTGCTCTGCTTTCAGTCACTCTAATAAAATTAAAACAAACAAACAAAAACAACGAGGGTACAAATTTACTTGGAGGCTCTGGTAAGGCTTAAACCCAAGGTAGCATAATGTGAAAAGTTGACGTTTTGTTTGAAGATTGATGGCTAACATTGTGGGGCTTAAAAGTAGGAAGCAGGTTGCAATGAGAGGGAGGAGCAGAGTTTATGAAAAGACCTTAATAGAGAAGGAGCTCAAGAGGACATGGAAATGACTAGCATCCTAAGGATTGCTTCTACAACAAGTTGGAAAATGGCAGGTGCGTGAAGGAAGAAACTTCTGGCATCACAGGAAAGGGGATTCCCTGACACACATGGTATTTGAAAGGTTTACAATAGTGTGGAACCACTGGTTTAAAGCATTTGCTATGCTTTGGCATTTTATTTTTAAATGAATTGGTTGGTCTGCACCAAGTATTTGCTACAAAATTAAGTAATGACCAAGGGAAATATCCTGTAAATTGCACATATAAATCTTTACACCCCTTGTAATCATTTCCCAAGGTGAGGTAGAGAACTGATAAAACCAGAATCAAGTTAAGACGGGAAATAGTTCCACAGTGGCCAGCTAAGACTAAACACTTGCAATTGTTGTTCTCTGGGAGAGAATTTAATGTTGAAAATTGTCTGGCTCCAGTATCTCTATTACTCATGCATTTTTGTTCTAAGATGTTTGATAGGAGGTCACAGCATTTAACAGTTTAAAATGAAGGCTCTCTGATGAATGTATGGAGCTGTTTGATAAACAATAATCATTCACTTCAAACACTTTCATATCGAACATGACTTTTTTTATAACTGAAATCAGCCATAGACAATTTGAGAAGGTTATTCTGTACTCTACTTAATTACTGTAAGATCAGAACTTTTAAAATCACCTACACCCATCTAAACTTGTCTTCCCAAATGCTTACTGCTGTTTGCTCTACGACATTTTCTCCAGATGGTACTAAAGTCAATCAGGAATATTTGTTGAGTGCCCATTGTGTATTGGCCACTGCATAAAGTGTAATGTAAGGACTATTTTTTTTTATTTGAAGTCCCTGTCCTCAAATAGTTTGTTTACACATCATGTGCACGGAAGAAAGGAATATTTGTAAAATACATTCCAGGGTATGAAAATTAATACTGTATATGCAGAGTAGATTAAGTGAGGTGGGGCAATTCAGTGCTGACTTGGGCAAGAGATAAGTTTGGAATAGAAGGAACAGTGGTGAAAAAAAGGGAACTTTCCAAAAGTGCAGAGAATAACACATGTGAAGATTGAGGGAAGAATAAACAAATCCTGTTTAGCTGATAACAAGCACATTTGGCTAGCAAGAGCAGAAATCTTTGGGAGGGTATAGTAAGAAGTAAGGCTAGGAGTTGTGCTGGGACATTCAGCTGATAGCAGCATACAGGAAGAATTAGGGGGAGAGACTGGAGGCAGGGGCACAAGCTAGGAGGCTGTTACAGTCTAGGTGTGAGTTGATGAGAGATGGTTATAGGGGGCAGCATAGATATTCTCAGAAAAAGAAATATCTGAGGAGGAAGAGACATAGGTAGACACGGTCAGATGGTCAGATGAAAAGTGGAAAATGAAGGAAAAAACCAAGAGTCAACAAAAACCCCAAGGATCAAGAAAGTGAGTTGCAGCAAAGGAATTCTTTTTGAGTGTTTAATCTACCTTCTTAACTGAGGAAATTGTGAGGATAAGACTAGAAACACAATGATAGGTGTATTAACCACTGGAGCAGCCACTGAAGTGTTTTTGGAGGAGAGCAATGGTCAAGAAAAACAAAGTGCTTCTGCAAAACTGGTTTACAAATGGGTCTCATCTCATTCCATGTAAAGCCCACACCTCACTTTGGAATAAAGAAGCCATTGAAGTGATTGAATCAGAGGGAAACAAATCTCAAGAGGCAGGGGTTGGGGGATATTTGCCACCAGTTTTTTAAAACGTAGAGAAACTGGATAAGGTACAGAAAGAGTAACAAATGGTATGTTCAAGTGTATTGGCATGGTGGGAGGGAGTGCAGAGTGGCCCTATGAAGAACAATGGAATGAATTGGTAATCTGGTAACATTTGAACCCAATTTTCACCAAAATTAAAGGCAAAGTGACGAGCTAATTACCATCCTTAAAATTATGAAGGAAAAATCTCTACAGCT